CAGCCATACTAAAATTTAAAATCTTAAACAGCCGTATCACTGCACTCTGTGTTTAAGGCAGGAAGATGTGTAACTGCTTCACATTTAAACATAACTTAATAAAAGAGGTTCCTACCTGAAAGAATGAGCTCATCCTTTATTGGGTCCTAGTATCACTTATCGACCGTGGAATATTTAAAAAACACGAACAATAGTGGTTTGAATTATCAAGGTTTATAAATTGAGCGCGATGAACGAGAGTTTCTATACTTCTTCTCAAACTCATTAATAATTCATAAAGAAAATTCAAAGGAAATTAATGTTTAATGAGTGTTTGGATATCAGATGAAAAACTGCTCATTTTTGCATCCTTAATTTCTCCTTCAAAAATGATTTTGTTTTAAACAAAGCTAAAAGCAATTTAATGGCAAATGAGAGTTTGGATAGTAGAAGAAAGTGCTTTCCTTTTTGCATCTAAAGTTTATATTTCATAACGACTGTTGTTTGAGAAGAAATATCAACCATGAGACGTAGTGTTTCATCACCAGATGACACACTACGTCTCATGTTTGATATATTCCATGAAACACGTGCTACCAGTGTTTTGAACAGCTTTAAAAACGCCAACTGAGTATTGCTAAATAATGTATTTTTCTTTTAAATCGTGTTAATTGAAAACGGCAAACAAAAGCAGCCAAAATAACTAGGTTGTCAAGTACAGTTGTGCAAATGCATTATGCAACTGAAGAACACGATCAATAGACCGTTCAAGCGACTACTTTCCGCTGAACTTAATAACCGTACAATAGGAAAAACAGTCGCTCGGAGCGAGTGCCACTATATCCAACTGCAACGGAAGAAAATAAGCCTTAATATTTTTTACGGAATTGCAAACTGGTAAGAATTGCTTGTAACTCGTTTTGCCGATTCATTAAGCCCCATGCAAACGGACGCAACATTGTTGGCCAACAACTTGTTGCGTCCGTTTACGTGTGAGTAAAAGTTTAACCGGTTTGAAACTTTGGGCAACTACTCTTAACAACACGCAACAAGCTAAGACGCAACAGGGTCTGCAAAAGGACGCAACATGTAGGGTTGTTGGCCAACAATGTTGCGTCCGTTTTCATGGGGCTTTAGGCAACAGTAGTATCTTGTAGTGGATTGATTTTGGTGTTTTCTCGGTTAAAAAACCTTTTCCACGGTTTTTTGTTTGTTTTAGGCTGATGTTCCTTTTAGGCGTGTGTAGTTATTTTGTTGAATTTTTGACTTTTCAGTTACTTACCAATTAGGATAACCGTTTTATATAAAATTCATATCCATTAGTGTTCTTTATATAAAGTGCCCAACCTAATGAGCATTCCAATGTTTTAGTCTTTCAATCCCGTTTTTTACCCTGGGGCTGAATTCAAATCCCTCCCCTGACTTAAATCACCTAATAAATGCCCAAGGCGTCTATTTAATTTTAGGGGTCCAATCGGGGGCGTTTATTAAAAGTGAGAGGCTTTTATTCTCATTTAAAAGTGTAACAAGCTTAACAAAACTAACAAATAACAAATAAACATGCTTTCGACAAGAACATTAAGAGTGTTTAAAAATAGCGGAATATCCACTTCATCCATATCGCTTTCTCACATCTCAACATCGAACTCAGAATCCTCGCTCAGAGTTATTGCGTTACCATCGTTAGTCTACCCTTACTTTGAACTTGACATTGAACAAGATAAAATCGCAAACCCTGGTTAATCAAACAAGACACTGAATGAATTGAATAATTTTGCTGCGTTTTCTAATTCCCAGTGTTTTGGAGTAATTCTCATATGGGGCGTTTATGAGAGAGGCGCTTTTAATACAATTTTAACAGCGTAGAGGGGGCGTGTATTAGATAAGAGGCGTTTATTTGGAAGTGGGCATTTATCAGGTCAATTACAGTAGATGAATTTTAGCAGGTCCTTGCACGTCATTTATCCATGTATTCAACTGGACAATATTTAACAATTAATGAAGGAGGCTGAGTATCTTATGAAGAATTATGGAGATCGAGGAGGGTGTTATCCGTCGAGGCCGTAGGTCGAGGCGGATAACACCCTCCGAGATCTCCATAATTCTTTTTAATATGATACGAAAGCCGAATTCAATAATTGTTTTATTATTCATTCAAAATATTCTCTTCCTAGTTTAAAAGCATGACTAAAACATGCTTACCTCTATCGATCCATCGATGTTAACTTCATCTTCGATAGTGCACGTTTAGGTTGTTCAGCGCCGCAAATATTCTCCAAATAGCGCGCACCTGTCGCCCTTCGAGTTGTCTTCTTGCTGTTCTTGCCTTGTTTTTAGCTATTATTTTGCCCAGTTCTTACTCTTGAAACGATTGACACGAGTCCGCCAGTTTTGTTTTCACAATCAAAACAACACAACCTCGTCCCCAATTCTTCTCGGTTAACGGTGCATTAACCTGCAAGAAAGCTGCACTTTTGACGTCATCGGTTCATTAAAGCCAAAATTCTTCCAAATTAGGTCATCAGTAGCTGGTTATGGTGAATTATGCGTGTGCTTTTAGCCAATCAGAATCGGGGAAATATTTTGAATGAATAATAATCATACTTAATGCATCAGTCAATTCCAGCTGAGCCCAGCCCCCTCCCCCGGGCTACTGCGGGGCATTTGCCCGCCTTGTCAGTCCCCGGGGGTGGGGCATTTGCAAATTTTGCGCTGCCCGGGGGCCGAGCATTTGCCAAACCCCGGGCCAAGCCCGAGCTTTTGACATGCACGCGGTTTCCTATCAGAATATAACACAAAGGATTCTACTTGAAAAACAAGCAGATTGGCTCATTTTTTAAGGACGGGAAAAAAGTGAAGAGGTTTGTAAAGGCATGTTCTCGATTTTATGCATGCATTTCTTCATTGCTTATCAAGCCAGAATTACACAGCGAAAACTCGGAAGCTATCGACATGAATCAACCCTTTTTGGTTATTGCATCAAGTTTCTCTTGGTATTATTTGAAGAACATCCTTTCATATTTATAAAACTATTCATAGCAGTTAACTTTACAGCGCGCTATTAGTTTTAATGTCAATAATTTTATAACAATACTAAAACCATAAGCTGGTGTCGTCACGGCGTGAAGTCTTAATTAGAGTAGCACTGTTACAAAGGAAGACGTCAGTTGAAACAAAAAATCGCACATTACAATGCTTAAAATGGCACTACTTGACTGTGCGATCAATGAAAAATGTTGCAGTGTTGACGGAGGACGGGACATTTGCCCTCTTTTTTCGTACCCGCCTCGGGGATTTGACAGCTCAAGAGTCCCCACCCCCGGGAATTTGCCATCCAAGACAAAAAAAATGCTAATGCCCGGATGTCATTCCGGGGGGGGGTTGGGGGGGGCTGGGTACAGCTGGAATTGACCGTGATGCATTAATGTTAATGAGTTTGTATAGTACCTAAAGCGAATGTATATTCCGCTTGTAAGGAATGTATATTCCGCTTATTAATTGTAGAATCGGAATAGCAGTTCAATGGAACGTTTTATGTATCCGGAAAGGTAAATCGATGGCACCCTACGAAGATAACTTATCCTTCAAGAATGCCCAATGAAGACTAATTCTCTCTTATCTGTTGCGGGAATCTGTCCGATTTTTCCTTTGCGGGCGAATCCTTACCTAATTCAGACCACAAGGCAGGAGAGTTAAATGATTTGTTTCGGCAAATTGAACACAGTTAGAAAGAAAAAAATCCTGTTTATTGGCAAAATCGTAGCATTTATAGCCGAATTTTATCTTGGAAAAGGATAGATCTGGTACTGGTTTAATATTCATCGAGAAATTCCCACTCCAAAAACACCAAATTTAGAAAAAAAAGCTATATATTTGACAGCTTTTAACTTCAGGATTTTCCGATCGATATCCAGGACCTTGTTTTCAAACCAACTGTCACTGGAAGCTGTTTCCTTGCGTTTGCCTCATGTATAAATTTAAAATTATGCTGATTGGGCTGATTTATAAGCGATGGAGCCGCAGATAATTCGTGATTTCTGATGTGTTAAATGAGTCTTGAAAGTTTTTTTCCCTGCGTTTGGAGTCGCACGACCGTTCTTCCTTTTTCAGTCTCAGTTGTTTACACGACAATAGATTCCAGTTGTAAGTAAAGAAAACGCAAGTAAAAGTAACGCATTTGGAACGTAATGTACAAGTAGTGCGCTTTACGGGAATTAGGGAGCTTAAGCAACATCTACGGCGACAGCAACGAGAACGGCAAAAAAGCAATAGGTTCAGACTCGCAAAACAACAACTTTGCACGTACATCACGGTTCTTTTTGCCGTTGTTGCACGACTACGACGTAAAACTTCCTAATGTCACTTCTACGGAGGGAGGAGGTGAACTCCGGACAACAATTTTCCTTTTCTTTTTCTGAACTTAGATCCAGTCCTTCAGAATTAACTCCCAAAAAAATCCCAAACATTTGACAAATTGAATGGAATGGAATAAGAGTAATGAAATTTGAAACCGCGCGAATTCACTTTTAAAGTGACGTTTCGCTGCCGTTGCCGATGTATTTTGTTAAGTTCCCTATTAATTGTGACTGACCGGTTATCGACGAAACTAGCCTAGTTTTCAAGACAGTAAAACAGGCAAACCAAAGCGTAGAAAACACTGTTACCTTACGGCTTGTAAGAGCGAGTTAACCAACTTACTTTTAAACTTACTCAGAAGTAAGGAAGAAGTGAAACCTTTAGTCTAGGACTGACTTTCTCTACACGAACCTCCCGTATTTATTCGTATTTGGCCAATCTTAGTTTAAGTGTTGAAAAGAGTTGCTGTTGATTTGAATCTTCGTCATTTGAGAAATATCTAACTGTCAATTGCTTTTTTGGGTAGACTTCGTGATGATGATGAAGGGGCAGCTGAAGTTGGCATCACGGAGACCACAAGAGAGCCGAAAGCATACGATCACCCAACCAATCCTAAAATTAAGTTTTGGGATTTACCGGGAATAGGGACTCCCAACTACGCCGACATGGCGACGTACTGCAAGAAGGTAGAGTTGGAGAGGTTCCATGCGTTCCTAATCTTGACAGCCGGCCGATTAACCGAGAACGACTTGAAACTGGCGTGGAGAACAAGTTCAATTAATAAGAAATTCTTCCTCATTCGCACGAAAATTGACGAAAATGTCCGAGCAGGGAGGCGAAAGAGGTCATTCAATGAAGAGGACATGCTACAGAAGATTCGAAGCGACTGTTGCGAAAACCTGGGTGACCTGCTGAGCGATGTGCGAGATATATTCTTGATTAGCAATCACGATCGTGACAAGTGGGATTTCGCCCGACTACTACAGGCCATTCTGAATGCATTGCCAACATACCAGAGAGAGACTCTGGTCTTGTCGCTCGGCAATGCCGTAACAAATGATATTTTTCAAAAAAAAAGTTGAGGTTCTCAGAGGGCGCATTTGGAAAGTAGCTACTTTATCTGCAGCCGTCGCGTTCTTTCCGATACCTGGGTTATCCATTGCCGTTGATGTCGGGTTGATATTGAACGAATTCACCCTTTACAGATCCCAACTTGATCTTCCAGAGAAAGGAACGGCTGATTTTGAAAAGCTACGTGTGACCACCCAAGACGCAGTCGGTAAGGTTAGTATAACAACCGCTGCTCAATTAGCTGCCTACTTATCAGTTTTTGCCACAGAATCAGCCGCTGAGGAAGCCGTCAGTTATATCCCGATTGTGGGTTCGGTGATAGCCAGTACCATATCGTTCACCATCACGTATGCTGCACTTCAGCAGTGTTTGAAAGCGGTGGAAGAAACAGCATTGTTGGTGATGAAGGAAGCTGCCGTAGAAGCAAACGAGGAATTCGATTGAATATATTCAATTCTTTTTTTTTCTGTCCGTGCCTTTCCAGGACTGATCAGATAGAACAAAAGTCTACATCAACTGCGAACGATTGCCTTAATCTTAATTGTTGTGATTTATCGTTTGTAAACTATAGATATTTGATCAATTTTGCAGAATCGAAAACTAGAAAATTCGTAGACTATATTCATTTAGATTCATCTCAGCTTAAGCTGGAGAATCATGTCTTTAGGAGCTGATTAACCTCTAAAGAGCACCCAGTGAATCGCTTCACAGAATAATGGGTAGAGAAAAGTCTATGAGTTTAATATGAACAGATCTTGTCACTGAGTATAATTTAGATAAGTAAACCGTAAGCTAGGCGCTCACACTCGAAGTTTTATAAGTAATGTGATTAGCATCAAAGATATTGCTTACAATCTTCGTGGAATTGAAAGCAGGCTCGACCAGCCACCCCCGAAACAGTTGTTACGCACAGATATTTTTCTTTTATGAAAAACTGAATCATTGGATAATGCAATTCTAGAGCTCTGATTGGCTTAGCCATCGTGGTATATAAGTATACCACGCTCCCCTAATATGGCAACTGTACGCGTATGCTCAGTCAAAATTAAAAACAAGCTGAAAATCGGTTGTTTTTATAAATAAAGTCGGACAGAATTCTCGATATTTTTCGTTTTGTGGGCTTTTATTTTAAAACAATTATTCCACTCGCGCTTGTTGAGATATGAGATGATTATAGCCAACGCGCATTTGCGCCAACGCGCATTTGCATCCCTTTAGCGGGCGGTTATCCTTAGTTGATTTAGTGTTTGTTTTAACTCCAAATGCACAGTTCTGATTCTGTTTGAGCAAATCCGCCCTCGTCTTTAAGCAAGCAAGCAACGCCAAGCATGTTCGGCCACATTTGAAACGAGCAAAGAATGTGCTAAATGGCCAAGCAAGCACGGTACCAGCGCGAGTGTGACCAAGGAAGGTAATCATGAAAATTTATGTCGTCTGCGTGTGAAACTTTTAAGGAGGGTCAAAGGTTAAGAAAGTAGATGTTAATGAAAACTTGAAACTAGACTAGAGTCGAGAAGCGTAGGACCTGGTTATGACTTGAGAACTACTACATGTAAACCACAAATTTAGGAACGCAATATAAAGCTTGCCGCATATGGTGGAGGGTTATAGCCATGCCGTATCCATCCCTTCAAGCGCAGTGACTGAGATAGTCAGTTCATTAACAGGGACGGCGGAACAAAGTTCACGCATATGATTTTCATATATTCATAACTTCATCATAATCCTTTCACGGGTTTATCACGAACCAATTCAACGACCTGCTCCCAGTTGGCTTGTTAGCTTAATTGGTAGAGCGCTGCAGCGGTATCGCAGAGGTAAAGGGTTCGAATCCCGTACAAGCCTGAATTTTTTTCAGGCTTTCTTTTCGCAACTGCAAAAATTGAGTAAATAACTGCGATGATCATCCTTTACTTAATGACTCCAATAAAGTTGAAGTTTATAGAAGGGGAGAAAGATGAAGAGATGCGAAAACAGTTTTGTTTTCGTATTACTTCACTGTAAGATAAAATAAAGGTAAAAAGGCACCCACGTAAAACCATTCGTTGACAAAAACCTCTGAAGGAGTTATTCACAAAAGAAAAAACGATTGTTCGGATGCTTAAAAAACTCATGCCAGACCGGGCAAGGTAATAGTTGACAAGCCTTCTTCACGCGAGCAAAGTAAGAACTAAGAACTACAACCACTCTTGCGCCATCTGTGTATGTACTGAACTCGCTGAGTGAGTTGGTGGGATCCTTTAGCTATTGGGGTCATTGATCAGTTATATATGTCTGACAGCTAATAGAATTTGTCAATCACTTTTTGTGTGATGAAGATTACTTCCGCCTCTTTTTCTTCTTTTTCTTTGACTGACCGCTGTCCATACTACCGCTTAAGCTCAACGCTGCCATGGCGTTAGCCGCTGATTCCTCTTCCATGGGCTCGGGCTTTTCCTCTTTTACAGATACCTCAGGCTAAATGAAAAATATATGAGATTAAATTACACCGAAACTGGGGCAGAATTTGTGGAAAATGAAACGACAAAGCAAGTGAAACAACAACAATAACAACAAATTGAGCCTTACCACGTGTAAACATTGTTCAGTTTCTGTGCTATTTGTTGAAGTTTCAGCAGCTTTACTCGGAACTAGCCTTTGCCTTGATTCAAATTTCCGGCGAACTGTAAACAACAGAAAATGTTAGCAGCAGATAAAGGCCTACTGACTGATAAATAAATTTCTGATTCACTAATTACCCAACACTTATTGGTGGAAAAATGGACTGACTAACTGACTTGACTGGCTAAGTGACCTGTTGACTGACGGGCCAGCTAACTGAATCACTGGCTGACTGCCTGTCAGGGTGATTGACTGCTTGGGGTGAACGAACAAATGACTGACTGATTGAGAGACTGACAATATGGCCGCCGAGTGACTTGACTGGTTGACGGAGTGATTAGCACCTGTGGCAACCACGGGTGATCCAGGTACTCAAGACTTGCTCTCGTCATGCCTCGTAGCTGAGTCGGTAGACCAACGGTAAATCTAATCCGGACGTCGTGGGTTTGAATACCGAGGTCGAAAGATTTTTCCTTTTCGTCGTGTGGCCCCCTTATTTTCTTTTTAGGGATAAAACCCAGGGGTGTTATGGGTTATGGAAAGGACACTTCCGGGAAGAAATTTCGAAAATTTGGGTATACCTCGCGCAGGAAAATACTGTTAAATGCGCTATTCGAAGTTGCTGGAAATTCAAAGCGGAAGTTTTGGTTGAATGGGAAAGCGCCCATTATTCGAGTCTCTGACTATCTGAATGACCAAACTGTCTGTCTCATCAATCAAACAGCTGATTGACGGGCAGAGGTTCATTGACTATTTGGGGATACATCGTAATCAATTGTTACCTGGAGCACTTTCTGTGATATCAAACGTTCTCAATCCCTGCTTCTCGCCACCAAAACAGAACACAAACGGCGAATCAGGGCAACAGCTAGCGTTTAGAATTTTTCCCTAGTAGCACAAAACGAAAAAAGAAAAGGATATTAAAAAGGAAAGTCTTCGTTTCATACGTGAATAAAACCTCTCAACAAAATCGCTACATTTGCTCACCAATTGAAGATCTCTGGATACTACAAACGACGGTTGGTTCTCCTACAAATGTACAACAGAATGTCCCAATGAGAAAAACATGCTAAAAACATGTAAAAAAATACTAGAGCATGTCAAACATAAGACTTACAAACGGTGACGGACAAAAATAGACCGTGTGACCTGCAATTGTCAGCAACCAGGTTTTGTCTTATTTTGTATCTCGGGAGGCGACGGGTATGCGTGGGTTGAATTTGTTATTAGATCTCTTCCTTTCGAGGGGTTTTTCGCATGGTTACCTAGTTGTCTCCACAAAGAACCGATTAAAATTCTATCTAGAGCGCACGACCAAGTGTCAAACGAGTTCTTAAGAGCTCCTGGGTGTTTGGTCGATTTTGACCATTATATTTTTTAAATTAATAAGAAACTCAAACTGTAATAGACATTTCTCACAGAGTCAAGAATACGACAGATGTAGATCTTAGATAGGTTTAACTTTGCGAAAGGGTAACGTTCACACGGTGCCTCAACCGAAGGGCATGGTGATAAGCAACAAGATAAAGGAATACGAAATCAAAGCAAATGGCAATAGATCTTATTCGCACCATAAGCTTTTATTAGGCATTTTTTCCATAGTAGATTACTTGGTTTTCTCACGATATTTGAAACTTCGTAAAGATTGCAGGTGAACACGAATTTGACCACAGTTAATGAAACTGGTAACGAAAGCAGGCAAAAATCAAAGATAAAACAACGGTGCTACAGTTTATGTTGGAAGCTTTTTGACCGTGCGCAACTTTTGTTTTCGGTTCACACATTGTGGTAGAATAAATTGATGGATCATTTCTACTGGTCATTCACTTTAAAACGACAGTTGTGCACGACAAGTCCCAAAAAGCTAACAAAAACATGCAAAAAAGAAGTTTGGCTTCGCCCCAAAATAACGAAGCGAGTAAGGTCTATCACTCTGCCATCAAAAAGTATACAACAAAACGAAATCAAGTCAAACATGAAAGTCACCTGACCTGTATATCCCATACTTTGACAGTCTCGTCAGCTGACGCGGTAACCAGACATCCGGGTACTTGACTACTTAAGGCAAGCCCTATAGATATGAGAGGAAGTTAAAGTTGTTGTATTAATTCCTTTCGTGCATCTTGAGATCATGATGTTGGACTCGGGTTGCATAAGCTACTTCGAATTAAGTGGAATCTGCCTAACACAATTATCTCGTCTCATTAGTACAGAGTAATTACCGTATTTATTCGATTAACCATCCTAGGCGCTTATTAAATTTCTGGACCTTGAGAGTGGGCGCTTATTCGAATAAATACGATACTTTACTGGGAGAAACAACTCGTCCGAAGGCAGATTAACGAAAACGCGTGAAAAGCGAAAAGAACATTGAAGAATCCTTCAGATTGCATTTAGGTACTTTACGAAG